GGGGGGGTCGTGTGTCGCATGCATTCATACCTAAATCGAGCGAGTGAATCGATTATTATGATGCCGAAGTGTATTGCACCGAGTGGAGTTGTCGTGATGCCGGGGTTGGAGGTGATGTACAGGAACTCCCGGCGTCCCACCTAGAGAGAGGATTATGGTGTTGTACAGCAAGTTGTTTTGGTGTGGTGTGCAGTTTACCGAAGGGAAAGAGGGGACGGGGGGGGTATGGCACACACGTGACCCCGATGTACCGTTATATTGATCCTTGCACAACGCGGAGCCCGCGGTGGCGGGAGCAGGACTTGATGACATGCACGGCATCCTCTTGATGTATTTGTTTTGGTGGTGTTTGTTAAAGGACATGTTTTGGTTCTCGCAGGCAAGGGGAGGGACTGAGATTGGTCATAATTCACGGAATCCCGAGGCGCTTGTTGATAGGTTTCCCATGGAAGGGGCTTTGCTCTCCTGAGGATGCGGGATTGGGTAACGAGGGGTTTGAGGACACGGATACCGTGTTTCTGTTGGTTGGACATCCACGCCACTAATTTTTTCCCGCACACAAACCCGTGGGTATGGTAATACAGGTGACGGTGAAACGTGACGGTTTTTTCTTGTTTCGGGAGTCGAGGGGCGTGGTGTTGGGGGGGTCGCGGATGACCAAGCAATATGCTATGGTTTTGTCCCTCCCCTATGGCGACTAATGTCTTTTCGTTGGTCACGGTGGCTATAGCTAGCGCGTTTGATGTCCACTTAAGAATTAATCGAACACATGCAGTGGCCACAGATATAACAGGACATAGATAGAGAGAGTGTGAAAGTCTGGGGGGGACAGAAAGCGCATGCCAGAAGGAGGAGGTCTGGCCCACCTTTAATGACACGTTCGAGTCTGATCCACCTTGAATGGCTGAAGAGGTGCCGTCGTTGTGCGGGCCGATCACTTTATTTCCCGATGTCAATGTGTAATTTGAAAGGGCAACAGGGGCGCTGACACGCGTCGTGTGCCCACCAGGTTCAAATGATGGAACTGGCAAAAGACGGAGGGAGGGAGGGAGGTAAAGAGACAGAGAGAGAGCGGTGATGTCCTGAGCAATGTAGATACTATTGTGCGGAACCACTCTACGCTCGCAGGTTTGTTGCTAGATCGAAAATTGAGTTGGTTTAGCCGTTGTTTCGTGTGTCACAATATATTTGTTCTTGTGCTTTTTGTTTTTGGGTTGCGCTCGAGGGGTCCGTGTGAAAGGAGGGAGGTAAGGACTTTGTAGGCCGCTTATTTCCTCTTTCGCGCACCCGCAACCGGCCGATCTTTCGCCGCCGCCGCCGCCGCTGCTGCTGCTGCTGCTGCTGCTGCTGCTGCTGTCAGTGTTGTTTTCGCCCCTGCTGGTGATGATGATGTTGCTGCTATTCAGCAGCGACGCAAGTGCGTTTTTGAAGGGGAGGGCGAGTGTTGGATGCGTGTGTGGAGCTGCAGCGAGATTGACGGCCTCCGCGGGAACCCCCAAGAGAGGGGCTTATGCACGATCGAACTTTTGGGAGATCGCAAGCGTTTTGGATTCGGTTGTTGGGATGACGTCAATTTCGATGTGAAGGTGACCGTGTACATGGGACGGGCGGGATGGTGATAGATTCGGCGAGTGTTCCTGTTGATGGGTTTCGGTTAAACGTACCCTACGTCCCATTCTTGTGTTTATTTCTACGTGTGCGTCGGGTCGGCCGTGCTTGGGGCTGTTGCGGGACTGCCTACTTCTGCATACAGCAGTAGATGAGTGTTGACCCCATATATAAGCGATCTTGAGAGTGTGCCCGGCCACGTTTCAAGAGCTGCTGTCACTGCTTGTGAGGTCTGGCACGAGGAGGAGCGTCGTATTAAAAGGACCTGTACAGGCGGGGTTACGAGGAAGAGGAAGGTACACATGCGGCCCACCTACCAACACGCGATGGTGGGATTTTGATGGAACGGGTGGGGTCGGTTGCAAGAGAAGAGCTGATCCATCCGCGGAGAGCAGTCGAGAAGCCCGACCGAGGAGAGCTGATACTATATTCGACCGGAATGGATTGGGGCAGAATGAATCCGACAGGAATGAATTCGGTCGGAATGTATCCGAGCAGATGAATTGGACGGGAACAAATACAATACCCCACCGGAATGAATTAGACGGGAATGAATTCAAAGGGGTTAAGTTCGACCGCGCCTCCGGGGGAGAGGCCGAGCGCGGTGCGATTTTTCGACCGCAAAGGTGGCCGTCGTTTGTGTTGCGTGTGTCGCTCGTAAAAAGTTGCCTTCCGCAGAGGGTTTGTAGGCTTGCGCTGTGTTGTTGCGGCGGCCGTTGTTCATGTTGAAGCCGCGTATTGGTCGTCTCTCGCATGTGTAGCGCGAGACGCTTACAGTTGGCAGCGGTTGGTTGGTCGCACTGCGATCCACCTCGGCGCACCCGGCAATCAGTTGCGCATTGAAGTTACGTGTAGGAAATCATTCTAATAGTAGATACCTGCGGCAGTTGTCGTGAACGCGTGATTGAATGGCCGCTTTGTCATGTTCAATATCAAGAAGTACTACGATACCCTTTCCAGTGTAATCTATTTAGTGTTCACGTCTAGGCTGCAGGTTCATTCCTAAATGAGTGGAAGTACTTCTTTCTATGCGAAAGTCGCCCTTCTCTTCGTTCACAGGATCTAGCTTATATGCTTGGAGACTGGACGCCGCCGTCGGTTTTCGGCATTTCGACGGTTACACTCTTAACCTCTAGTCTTGTAGTGCGACTGGACGCCGCCGTCGGTTTCAGCCGTTACAACATTCACGTATGGCGGGTGCGTCGTGCCCCTCACGTCGGCGACAACCCGGACACACCATCGCGCCGGGCCTGTCAGCAGATTTGACATCTTGCGTTCGAAGAAGTCGAGTCCGAGGTTTGGAAAGCTCTTATATTAGATTCCCGAGGCTCGGTTCATGACGATGATGTCACGGTGTCACACACGCTGTCCACACCCCAAAGCCAGTTTTTCTCCCGCTTTTGGGCTGACAGACGAAAACCAAGGGTGGGATGTGCAACAAATGGCGGGTCTTGGCTCACACCGTCGTCCCGTCTCATTTGACCATCAACCGAACGCAATAGTGTACCTCTCTTCAACTTTGACAGTACATCAGGAGGTGGAATGCGTAGGAGCAGAAACGAAAGAACATCTTGAGCTGGAGATTCGATATCTCCATCTTCTCCGGCTCGAAAACTCCATCTCGTCTACAGGACTACAGCAGCAGTAGCACCGTATTTGCGTAGAAGATGTCCTTCACTACAAAAATAGAAATTACAGCGAGGATGATTGTTGTCAAAACTTCGTGATGAAACGGGTGGCAAGCCTACTTGAGTTTTCAACTACAATTTTGGTGTTGTTTGCTTTAAGAGTAGAGGGCAGCGACTTCGATGTCTCATGTTGTGGATACTTGCAGAGGTTTCAACTATAACGTCGCTGTTTGCTCGAAGAATCGAGGGCAGCGACTTCGATGACTGTTATTTGTTGTGGCACCAGAGTAATGCAGTATTGCAACGACAATCCGGGTGCAGTGGTATCTACTCAGTGACAACACGAATGAATTTCATGAATCATTTCCCCTGCCCCCCCGTTGCATTGAGGCCTCTGAAAGGGGGGGGGGGGGGATGTCATAGCTCGTTTATCCGTATCATATCGAATACCATATCGAACACAGAGCAGATGACGAGTCGTGTTACTTCTTCAAGAACGAGGGACACTGAAAAACATCAAATATATTTTCCTGCGGCCATGTCCCCATTGCTGTTGGGCAAGATGCCGGACGACATCGATTCCATGGCGTGTAGCTCATGGAGGAGGCCAACTTCCGTTCATCTTTCGTGCGAGCAAACACGGGGAGTTGAATTGCTCTCGAAAGCCAAACGGGCAGAAGAGACGAAGATTCCTGGCACCCCTCCCCGCAAGTACACGCTCCTCCTCCTCCCAGATGCTACAGAAGTAGTGCACCCGAGGTGAACAGAACGACGCAAGGTATCCCCATCCCCCGTCATCGGGACGAAACACGCACACAAGTGAAAGATATCAGTCTGAAGAACTCAAGTTTCGGGTACTCTCGTCGGTCGGATCGACACGAATGAACTTGGAACTCCTTGCCGAGGAGGAATAGCACAGGGCGGAGACATGGCGGAGAGGGTGCCTAGAAACGAAAGCCAAAGGTGTCGAGATCGGACCAGTCCCTGGACGCCGAAAACAACTCATTCACTCCGGGGGAAACCCACCTATCGGAAAAAAAGGGTTGGTGTTCTACCAAACGAGAAGTGAACATTCATGTACTTTTTGCTGCCACGGAACTACTTCCCCTTCGTCTTTTGGGACAAAGGGAGGCCGCCCCCCGCTCCGGGTGCGCGAACACGAAATGAGGGGCAGCAGCGGCCGCAAGAAAAAGAGAAGCGACAACAGCGAACAGCACGTCGTGCTTCTTCCCCGCCCAACACTCCAAGTTACTCCGCGTGCCCCGCCAATTTACTGAATTAACAGCCTTACCAAAAAATATAGCCTAAAATGATCTATAAAAAAAGCGTACCCCCTACCAAACCGCTTGCCGCTACAACATCAACATAGTCTAGCCAAGAATGGGCCTTGGCGAAAGGCGCGTACCCGTTCAGGCAAGAGGCAACGCACCTTGTATCAGTGTGAGACACGGAGGACGCTCCAAGCAACACGCACACGCGCGATCGTGACCTGGCTTCACGGTCAACAACATGCCAATCGGACAGAACCACAAACGTTTCCTCTCTTCTGTTTAATGCGGTCAGATGCTGCCGGACGCGATCTACATGGTCACCGGAAAAACAACCCTACTTAGTTGCTTGTATCAGGGCAGCAGTGACGTACACACCGGGACGCAAGTATCGGCACAAAATATCTTCTCTACAAGGAATTTTTACGCAACGCACGAAGGCTTTCATCGGTGTCAAAGCCCGAGATTGATCACATAACAAGATGAGTCTAACATGTCCCCTTCTCCCCATAGGTAAACTTATCAAACGTCACCAAAGGTAAAAATTTCTACGTGTTGGATATAGACACAGAACACAACAAACAACGTTGGAAACCAACGCAGAAATAAACGAAGAATGATAATAACACTGCTTGTTCTGGTTGCCGAAAACAGAAAGTGGCATGCGTACAAAGTAAAGCGAATCCTCACGATAGAAGCCTGCGAGACTGGTTTAAGATGCAAGCCTGGGAGTCCAACAGATCAGAAATTGTGTGCCACACCTGCACTCGCCGCGTTGCAAACGACGGGCATCAAAAACAAAAATTGCGTACCCCGCGGCGCACTAGGCCAGAATGCTTCCACTACTGCTCCTAAACACTACGGAAAAACAAACGCCACGGTCTAGAGGCAACAAAGGGCGCGGCGGGGGACTAAGCTACAGGGGGGTGGGTAGCGGCACGTCGTAGGTGCAGGGAGTTGCGAACTGGATGATTGTGCAGACAACAACCTCCATCGCACCGGTACAGAATGATCATCTCTTTCCTACCTACCCGTTGCCTGTAGGCTCTCTGCTGCTTTTCCCTCATTGTGTGGTATCTGCAAAAAGGCCCGCTACGCTCAGCATGGCTATCATCTCGGCATCTTGCGCGTCGACAAAAACTGATCGGTGGCGATAGGAAGTGGTGAACCGCGGGCACACGGTCACCACCAGAGAGAGAGCCCAGGGTGGAGCAACTCATATCCATCCCCTACTACCGCTGTGTTGTAGTAAGGCCAAAGAACGGCCTAGAAGTAGTAGTAGGTCCATTCCTGCCCGCCGGCAGCGTCATTCTCGCCATTGCCAACCTGGGGCGGTTGCCTGTCGTGAGGAAGAGTGTCGAGCGAAAATCGGACGCCAAAGAAACAAAGTACAGTCGACCGTCAGTTCTTGGCATCCCTGGTCGTGGCCGGCAGAAGCCCGAGATATGGTTCGATAAAGGGGTGATCCAGCGAACGGCCTTCCATATCCATCCCGTGGTATATGCCAAAAACGGCGTGGGAACATGCGGCAACAGCACAAGACAAGAGGCCCCGTAGGGTTCCAAAACGAAACCGGTGGTGCCACTGTCGCGCAGGGACCGACAGACACTAAAATAGTGGTGAAGAATGCATACGCAAAATATGTAGCGAACGGGTCATTAGCCCCGATGGCCTTTTGTTGTGCTGGGGAGATTGGGAAAAAAGACTGCCGTACATTGTACCGCTGAGGTTGCTGTGCCGTAGGACAAGAGGAAGAAATATTCAAACAAGTCCAGTTGCTACGCAAGGGCTGTTGTTTTTGAGGCAAGGAAGCATTTTTCGTCTTCACTTCAAATCAACGCTCACAGTATTTGTGCCGTCTACTCCAACCCGTGGTCACACAGAACGGATCCTCTTCCTGAGGTCCCCTACCCACCCTTCCTGCGGTGTTTTCCTTCGATTTAGCCTGCGAATAGAGTGAAGCACTCTCTCCCCTCTTTGAATACACAACGAAGAGTGGAGTCACTCACGAGTTGTTGTCTACTCCGTTCCCGTTGCCACCCTGAGCCAACCCCTGGCAAGCGGAAGCGGACAACAACAGGCACAAGAACGTACAGAGGACACCACGCGAGGGCCATGGTTGTTTCTTGATGTCCATTCCGGTGCCGCTTGCTCTCGAACAGCACGTGGGTCTGAGGAGTCCAACCGCAAGCTACACACCGTAGGTACCGCGTCTTTTGACATGCGTGCGCAGTTCAAACCTTGAACGCTGCTACTCGCGGGCCTTTCCTCTCGCGCACGTGGAATTGGGAGTGGGGTTATTCGATCAGGAGACAAGAAGCTTCGCGTGCGGCCGAGCTCAGTTCGAGACAAACTCTCCTCCTGTTTATTTGCTCGAAAGCGCCAAAAATAAGTTGGCCTTTGACAAACCACTCTGGCCAACATCTGTATAACTCAAGCAAGATTTACTCGAATAAAACGCGTTCTCGAAAAAGACGCGCGCGCTCGAGGGATGTTCGGTGTTAAGTGCTGCTACATATCGCCGCGAAACGCCTTCGCTTTTTCATATCCAATGACACCAATGAATGCCGCGTGCCCGTTCCAAAATATAGCTACCTCTCCCCTCCCGCAGAAACAAACGGGGATTACCACTACCAGAAACTGCAGAGCGTCCCGACGCGAACCCTCGCCCTGAGGTTTTGCGGCGGTGACGTTTTTGTCCCACGTGCACATGCCTTTTTCGCGTGCCCATCGAAACAATCTCCCAGCAGCTCGAATACAAGTTGCATCAATCACATCATCAACCCAGTTTTGTTTCGCTTCACCTCCCACACCGGTCTGTACGGGCACGGGACCATTGGGATCAGGTCATGTTCTTGCCCAAGCTTTCACCTAAGAAGATGCTGTTCAATTTTGCTCTCATGCTTTTCCGGAGAAATACTGCCGTGTTTCTGACAGTAGATGTAAGTAAACCTTGGGATCCCGCTTGCCTCTCGCGATGCCCGGGCGATTGATTTTGAGCAAAACGTCACGCTGCTGGTGGTTTCTTTGCTCCGCCCGTCCTCTCGTATCCTCGTCACTAAAAAGAACACCGGGGAGAGTCAACCGCTAAATACTGCATCGCTGACGAAGAGAAGGATAGGGAAAAAACATTGCTGCTATGCACATGATACCCAAGTACAATTATTTTCGAGTTTGTTTTGGAAAATGATGTGCCGCCCACAAACTATTTCAATTATTATCTGATTGCGTGTAGACTATTTATCGGAACACAGGTGTAGGCAGGAGGTTTCTCCCTTCCCCCTACGCTCGTAGTGGCCATAACACGTCAACAAGGTTTACCTGCTGTTGCTGTTGTTGTTGCTGCTGCTGCTGCTGCTGCGGGGTTAGAGCTCCGTCCGATCTCCCGCCATTGCTACCACCGGCCCCCTGGGTGGATCCGCTTCTTTGGTTGTCCATTTTTTTTCTCCTGCTCGATGTAGAAGTACCAACATTTCAGAGAGCGCCCTCATCTAGGAGCGCATGGCTTCATGCTCAAACGTAACGCCAAACTTGAGCACTACAGCAGTCGACCCCGCTTTCAGGACGCACATTTTTTTCCCGAAAAACAACGTCCGTAAAGCGGGGTTGCGTCCTTGTAATTCAGGGGACGATAGCTCCCCATCCCCGGGGCCAATGGAGGCATGCTATACCTCAACCTACGCGTCTTTTGCTAAGGAAGGGGGTGGTACGAAAAGTCAGCATCGCCGAGACGACTGGCAACCGTTTGTTGACGTCGAACATATTTACAAAACTCAAAATGAGATGTACAGCAGTCGGGGACGTGTTGAAAACAACTACAGTACACCAGTTTGTACTTGGCCAACTTATGTACTGCATAGCCGGCAGCGGAAGAAGAAGGAAAGTCCAAGTAGACATATATTTATGTCATTCTTGTGAAACAAAAAAAAACGAGCGTATTTCAGCGTCGCACCGAGGAACAACAATTATCAGTACAGATCACTGTCCCGCCGGAGACCAAAAGCTACCCTGATGGGTTTTCCTTCCACACATGGCGAAGAGTTCCCTGAACCTCCCCCCGCGGCTTGGCTCTACGGCTCTGTTGAGTTTCACGAGTAAACGAATGAACAGAAGGTACTGCGTCTCATGGTACTCGCCAGCCCTCCCCTTCGTGTACAAACACAGATAGCGCCCGCAGTTTAGAAAATTTATGTTGAGAAAAAAGGCTCAACTTTGTACGAAAAATAGAAAAAAAGGGCCCAAGAAACATAGATACCTCAATCTCGGCCACAACACACGTAAGAAACGCCCCAACAAGAAACATGATGGTGCGATACCCCCATGACATCAGAAATCTGCGGTGCTCCCACCCCTCTCCCAAGCTGAACGGAAGCGCATTTCTTTTTTAGGTGGCAGAGTCCCCCGTCGCCCCGCCCCCACGCCCCTTCTGTTCACAGTGGGTGCTGTACTGTAGTACTGCCACACATCGCGGACAACCATATGCTCTCCGCTGTTGTAGGGGTTTGATGGCACCCTCCACCACCTCTCATGAGGAACGAGAGAATCGGGAGGATGCGACAGTCCAAAGGAAGAAGCTTACGAACGCATATAGGATACCATCAGGATTGTCATTGGTAAGTTGAAGAGGAGATACTTTTACGATGTAAATGACAGTAGAAATAAGTCCTACATAAGTTGTTGTACTTCGTATTGGTTTAATATTCATGTAGAGTATGAGACATTAAGTGAAAGTTTTCTGAGGTACATCTGCAATTGTCGGAAGGCAAANAAAAATAAAGAAAGAAGAAAGAAATGTCATTTACGAAAATGGACGACATGGGCCGGTACTTTGACCCAAAAGAAGGGATTGAGGCTCGAACCGAGTTTGACGTTTCTTAAGTGTAGGATCGAACGTCCTCCAAGCGAGAGATAACCTCGGCTCGGTGAGGGACGAGGTTATGCACGACTTTTTTTTTGACGGCATCAGATGGACCGCCAGTAGATGGGAGGAATCTATCCATACCAACACCCTGTTACAGCTGCAGCAGCAGACCGCTCGCTACTTCTGCTGTCTGTGCGTCTCTACTTCTGCACTCACCGTGGTGCGTGGATCGTGCAAAGAGCGGCCCGCAGGCCCGAAGGACACAAACAAGGGGGGTACGCGACAGAAAAATGGGGTACCCCATTATCATATATTCTGCCGGACCCCTGGTGCTCAGCAAAGCAAGAAAGCAAGCAATGGTACAGTAGTGGGCCCCCTATAGTGCACTTTGAATAGTGCAACCGCCCGATATAGTGCAGGTAAAATCTCTGCGCACAGACGGCGCCCTCAATAGTGCAGGATCTGCACTATTGAGGCAGATACCCGATATAGTGCAGGTTGGGCACCGCGGTGCCCCGCAATAGTGCAGGTGGAGAAACATTCACACACACATATGAAGTAGCACGTGTTGAAAGACAACTCCAACTTGTCCGAGCAACAAAGTTGCTTCATCTTACCCCAGCATTACATGGATCGACTGATGGAAGGATGAACAGGGTATCCCGATTTAACCGCTTTGCAAATGGTGATCTGAGTGAACCTATCGCCTGGCTCATGATGTACGAGAAGAATCGTCGACTTCAGTATTATGCGGATACTGAAGACAATCGCCAAAGAAGAGCCACAAGACTTGCGCACGAAAGCGGAGGCATCACTAAAGCTGCCAGTGCCTTAATCTCCCCAGCACGTTCACCGCGCAACAACGACACGCTGGAGCATCTTCGCAACCTACACCCTAACGAAGATCCTGACGATATTGCTACTGCGTGGGATTCCAGCATCAAAGGTGCGGGAGATCGTATAAAAACGCACAAGATCGACTCCGTCGCCGAAGCTGATGAACCATTCGAAATCAAGTTCATCAAGCAGACGGTAAAGAAAGCCAACCCTCAGAGTGCTCCGGGGCCTGA